AAAAGAAGGTGTCTCTCAAAGAAGGCAGAAAGCAGGTGAAGGTGAGGGAGACCGAGAGCCGGGCACGCAGGGGCAGTGCCCCCGAGCACAGCCCAGACAGGCACCTGGAAGGCGCTCAGTAGCCATCTACCGGGCCGGGGGACAGGGGAGAGCAGCACAGGGTCACACGGAAGAACCGGGGGTCGGCCAGCGTGAGGATCCTTCTTCTCAGGAGCAGATCAGACATGGAAATAGCAATTTCAGGGACAAATTATATCATCTTTTCACTCGCCAGTTTCTTCCATAAGATACACAATAATGCTGACTTCAGGGGGTGATGAAGGAGAAGAAAGAAGGACACGGAAAGGGACCCAACAGCTCCCGACACGCTGCAGGGAGCACCCCACAAATACAGCTTTTCTTTTGGGGAAAATTATCGCAATTCAGCACTCCCAAACATTCTTTAAGAACTAGGATGCTTGGGACCAACGAGAAGATTAGGGCAGAGCGGGTGAGGTGGGGAGGGGGAGACGGGGTCTCACAGAAGCACGGGAACGGCTCCGGAGCTGGACACGGGACAGCCCTGCGAGCTGCGGGGAGCGAAGGCGCTCTGGGTTTAGGTCCCTGCACGAATGCACAAGCTGTGCCTCCCCTGCTGTCCGGGAGCACAGAGCGCATGGGGCATGCCGGGCACACAGCCGGCCCCCGCTGCCAGGGGCGGTGAAAGGACAGGAGGGGACCCATGAAGCCTCCCGCGTCATACCCAAGGAGCGGACCAAGAAAAAGGCCTGGGGCTTTTTCTTCATATACGGGATTTTTCTTAATCACTTTTTTCTTCAAAAAGAATATAACTACTTTTATATCCTTTATAATTATTTTTTCCATTTTTCTGTTCTTTATCAATTTACATACTTGTTTTGGCAAAGGTGCCAAGGGGACGGTGAGGTAGCTCCTTGGGTCGCCTGCACCCAGGGCCTGGCCAGCCGAATCTCAGAACGGCCAGCGGCCATCACTGGACACAGGGGCAGGGGCATTCGGCCCAGGCTGACCAGCCCCTCTGCTTACCAAGCCCACCTGATCAGCCCAGCTCAGTAAAGCTGGCCTTGGCAGTGGGCCCACAGGCCAGTCCCCTCCCCCAAGGAACAGAGGTCTGGAGAAACCCACAGCCCTGTGCCGTTGCTAAGTTACCTGGGGAAGAGGCAGGGGTCAGGGGCAGGCTCAGCCCCCAGGGAGGCCTGCCTGACTGTCTTGCCAATGGCTGGCCGGAGCCTGGCTCTCCACTTTCTCTCCCAAGGCGTCGGAGACACGACTACACTTGGTGACTCACTGCAGCCATCCCGCCCGAATCTCGGGTCAGAAACAGAACCCCACAAGGCCTGCATGCGACACAATCTGACAGAAGGACACCTTGCACGGCAGTCCCCAGAACGCAGCCCACCGTACGGCGAAGACAGCCTGGTTTCCTGGAGGCCGCCCGCCCCAGATCCAGACTCCAGAATGGAGCCTCTGAACGCCACAGGTGCCATAAGACAGAAGGGGCCACGTCATGACAGTGGGACGGGCCCGCAAGTGGTTCTGTGCCTTGTCCCCAAGGGCACAGCCTGCTCCTTTGTAACCAGCTGGCTGCACGAGTCAGGTTCCAGGGCTGCCTCTTGCCTCTACTTCTGGGTCACCCGCACGAGCTCCCACCTGGCACACACAAGGCTGTGCTCGCGGTCTGCTAAGGGACCCGAGTCCACCACCTGCATCAGACTAGGCGCGTCTAGAAGGCAGGGCTGGAGTTTAACTCACATGTGGGTCCCCAGCACCTGGGACAGTGTCCGCCACGGAGCAGAGTCAGGAGACACGTATCTACTGAATGAATGGACAAAACCCTCAGTCCAAAAATCCACACTTTCCATGTAACCTTAGGGAACAGAAACTCCTGAATATTTCCTACTTTATAAACAGGGAATAGCGGCGACGACCTCCCAGACTTGCATGGGCTGGACACTGTGTCCTGCTCCCCACATGTGAGGGCGTGCTGCTCCCGAGGGCGGGCAGCGGGTGCCCCCACAGCCGTCTCATGTGTCTGCTTCTTCCTCAACCTACCACCCTCATGTGCGCGCGTGGCCTGCTCACCACAGCTCGGGGCCAGAGCTTACAGCAGGGTCGCGGGATGCTGATTGGCGGGTGTGCATGGAAAAATGCCCCCACGTAACGTAGCCAACACTTAATCTGCCTTTGCCGGCAGTCCAGGAAAGCACAGCCCATCACTGATGTACCTAGGAAGCTACGAAAGCGTCGCCACCCAACAGTGGTAGAAGGACGTACGGTAGGGGGATGTTGGAATCAGTTCAGCCTCATTCGTCATCACGACCGGTACCGATGGAAGGGACCGGAAACAGCCCCTAGACAGATGGTCTAGGAGCATGCTGGGCTCCGCAACCTGCCCTGTCCCCCCGACCAAAGGAGCAGCCCACACCCCACCAGTTCACAGGACAGTTCCCAGCTGGAGACGAGAGGCACATGGGAAGCCGCAGCCCCGACCACGCTGACCAGGGGTCCCATCCCAGGCCTTCAGGACTTGCCCCAGCCCTGCCCCTGTCCCCTCATGCCCTTGGATGCCCCCAGAATCTGCACTTCTCCTCTCCACACCAACTGGCACACAGCGACCCTCGCAGTCCCCCGGGCCACTAGGATGGACGGAGGAACTCGCTCTCGCCAGGCCCACGCATCTCTTCACACCTTCACTGATGACCCCAGCACCCCCGGTTCACAAGTGAGAGCCTGAGGTTCAGAGAGCTTGCCCACTTGCCCAAGGACACCCCAGCATGAGGAAGCAGCAGAGCCAGGACCGAGACCCACGGCAGCTTGGCGCCAGTGGCGTGGCCGTCCAGCGGGTGACGCCATCACCATCACACAGCCAACACGGACATGTCTGCACTCTACCAACACCCCAGAAAATGGGAACAACCTCAGAGAGTCCTTGTAGAGAGAATGACCCCCGAAACGCACAAAAGCTCTCTGTGCGAGCCGCTGAGTGTGATCTACGCAACAATGAACGCCTCAGAATAACCAAGACCTCCGAGTGCAGCACAAGGGCTTCGCTGCCTTGCACCCGCCGGATGAAACTATTGCACGGCCTCTAACAGCACGCACAGGACATGCCCGCAACATGAGGAATCCTTGTGTTTTGTCAAGTAAGGGGGAGAAAAGGTGCCAAATACAAGCCTGGCAGGAACATCTCCATGAACAAAATTTAAATTCTGAGGGCAGCAAAAAGGCTTAGAAATACACAAAAATTCGGTGAAATAGAGGTTCTCTTGGGGGGTGGGAAAAAGGTGATTGTTCTCTCTCCACCTTTTCTGATTTTCCATGGCGAGAATATATTACTTTGATCAAGTGACCTGGTCGAAAGGTCAAGATTCCAGTGTGAGGGCATCTGCCGTTGAACCTGGACGGGTCACCTCCCGGTGGAGCAGGTGCTGGACAGAACCCCGGACCCAGCTGGGCTACGGCGTCCTCCTCTGGAGAAGGACAGGCACAGCGTGCAGGGGCATCAAAAGTGACGACACAAGGCAGCTCATGTCCTCCCAGTAAGGCCTCTGGGCACAAATGCCTCGCAGATCCTAGGATTATTTTTTTTTAAAGCCACACACCCCCTCCAGGAAAATGTTACTAATCCCTGTGTCATCAACCAATATACCAACCTGCCCACGACGCATGTAGGACAGCAGACCCAAACGCTGTTAACAAACAGAAGAGCTAAACGCCCATAAAGACTCCAGTGCAAATGCAGGGCCTCCCGCTGGGCTCTGCAGGGAGTCTGGACCCTCCCGGGCCCACCCCAGGGGGTGGCTGCCGCCTGACTGTCTGGGCCTCAGGGAAGTTCTTCTGAGCGACAGAATGCAGGAACACACTGTTTATTTCATTTTGTTGCACAGGACTTGGACCTGTGCCAGCCATGATGGCGGGAGGATCTGGGCGTCTGACCCTGCCGGGCTGTCCACATCTGGGGGACCTAGCTGGCTGTAACTGAGAGCTAGGACGTCCCAACCCAGGCAAGTGTCTGGGAGCCCAGAGAAGCCCCCAGAGGCGCAAACACTGACCACAGAGACGGCCCCCCTTCCTTCCGCCCAAGTGTGGTCCCCTCGGTGCTGCCGCGTTGGCCACTCACGGGACTCCTGCCGGCCTTCATGCGAAGGAGCAGGGAGACCGGCGGGGAGTGGGGTCTCCCGTGCGGCAAGGGGGTCCCACAAACTGACAGAAAGCAGGGGAAGGCCTGCAGAAGGGCCCATGGCCCTGGGACGGTTCCCCCATGTTTGTCACACACAGAAGGGAGAGGAACACTAAGTAACCAGAGGAAAGACTTGACACTGATTTACAGCGATACCTGGGGTAAAACACAGCTGACTGCCGGCATGGGACCCAAAGCAGAGGAGATACTGAAATGACTTCCAGAAAGTAACACAGCCTCTCCCTTCAACGACCGCAGGCTTGCTTTGTTGCTCAACGAGGTAGTTCCGCAGCTCAGGAAGGCGCAGAGCAGGGCCCATGCTGCCGTGCGACGGGCAGCAGACACTGGGCTGCACGGGTCTGGCCGCTCGCTGCAGGGAGCGCTCCTGGCTGAGGACCGAGGTCAGGCGCTTACCAAGCACGTGCTCCTCTGTGCCAACCCCGTGAGAGGCTGTCGGAGCTCCTCCAGCGAGGAGGCCACCCCCTGGGCTTCCGCCCCACCACCCACTCCAGGTCCAGACACACAGGCAGAAGGCACACCACGGGGACCAGGGCACGGGCCGCCGTGGGCCATGTCAGACTCTGCAGCGGCTGGAAGGTGAGGGCGTCTCGGCGCCCATCGCCACGTGTGCATCTGAGGCTGCTGACGGGGTGCGCCTGAAGGGCCGTGCTCAGGGCAGACGCGGACCTGCCATGGCTAGCCAGCCGCCCCAGCCACTCCAGCCATCCCGGCCACCCCCGCCGCCCCAGCCACCCGCGGGAGAAGGCGCGTGCCCAGCCCAAGGCGACGGGCGCATACTCACCCCACTGCAACGGGGCCAGCTGCAGGTGCTCCAGGACCAGCTGGTTCAGGAGGCCTTCCACGCTCGCCTCCCCTGTGCGCTTGAGAGAGGGGTGAGGGCTGGTCAAGGAAAACCCGGCTCCTGCTGAGCCCCGGGGGCAGGGGGAGGTCTTCTGGAAGCTTCTACAGATGCCCAGACAGCAAACCTCCTACAACAGGTCTACGACCCCTCCTCTCAAATGAAGTCTAACCCACCACTGAGACCTGAGCTGGACATGGAAAACAGGCACGTGAACATGCCCGGCGCCCCCCTCCCTCAACCCCAACCAGGTAAACCCAGCTACTGTCACTGCCGCATAAAGAAGGGGAAGCCGTTGGGATAATTTTAATCCAACAGGAGTTCTTGGGCGGGGGGAGGCAGGGGGAAATACAGGAAATGGAAGTTGGCTTTTCCTTAATAAAATACGGCTCATTGTTCCATGTAACCAAATACATTTCTGGACATGTGTTGGCTCCGTGCTGGCTTCACGTCTGTCGTGTTACACATCTTGATGTAATTACACATATTATTACGAATGGCTCACTTAGGCGGGTTCATAATGGAGGAAGTCACAGTCTCTTAGCAAGTATCAGCGGATGAAGAAACTGGGTTTAGAAATGCAGAAAACAGATGTCTCCTGGGCACTAATATTAAACAGTCAATGTGGCTCTCAGAAACAGATCTGCAAGCCTCTTTCCCTTTCCCTACATAAATTAAAGCCACAGAATTTAAGTTGTCATCAAAAGGGAAGAATTTAGTCCCTGACATTCTTCCCTGATTAGGGAAGTGAGGAGGAAACCTGCTTGTTTCTGCCTTTAGCAAGTTAACTGCATTCAACAAGCACATGGCATGTCTGAACCAGACAGGGATGGAGACACGAGAAGGACACTGAACGGCTCACACACGAACTTGAACCCGAGGGGCCTCCTCCTGGTGAGGATGACAGCCGGGAATGGGGGCCCGCACTCACCAAGCCCGAGGACAGCTACGTGGGGATGAAGCCGTGCAGGCAGAGTAGCTCAGGGCTAAGGCTGGGGGCACAGGGCCCCAGGGGAAGGGGGACGAGAGCCCCTAGTCTCTCCAGCATGGGGGGTGGGGGTACAGGATCACGGGGGGGCTCTGTGGAGTGTGGACACGGCCCCCAAACATCCAGGCAAGCTAGCAAGGGCAGGGCCAGCCGCAGAGCACAGTGACCTGCTAGAATCCCTGCCCTGCTCTGCACCCCAAAGTCCTTCTTGGCTCTTTTGGATTCTCTCAATCCTCCCAAACGTCGTGTGCTCTCTCTGGACTCTGAACCGCCCACATCTGTGCTCTCTGCCTCGGAATGCTTTTCCCTGCCCTGTTCCCTCCCATCTCTGTTCATTCTTTGGCTGTCCAGCCTTCCCTGAGCCCCGTCCCTGCCCCGAAGGCCCCCAGGTGTCCCCCTCCTCCAGTGCTCAGCCTGGCCGCCAGCCTGACGTCTGCACGAGGGCCCAGCCCTGGCCTGGGGCCCGCACCAGCGCCTGCTTCACAGAGCTGCTCGGTGCACTCTGTGTGATGCATAAACAAACTCGGGAGGGATAAACATCCTGGACAAGCGGTAGAGGAGTCCCGCTTCCATCCCCTCCGGAGCCCATGGCCCTCAACACGCAGCTCAGATGCTGGGACCCGGAATCTTCTTTCCCCCGAGCCCAGGGCCTGCCTCTTGCTGGTGGCCCCTGCAGATGCTGGGGGCTTCCTCCACCCCAAGCTCCCGGGCACTCGCGCTGCTTGCTCTAGTCCACACCAACCTGACAGCAGTGGGGCAGAAGGGGGAGCAGGCTCATTCTGGCCACACTGAGCTCTCCGATGGACCGGGGACCACGCGGCAGCCCTGCAGCCCCGAGCTAAGGGCGGCTGCCCCTGTCGCTAGAACAGCGGGGTCCAGATGCTCTCTGTGGAGCTCTGGGTCCGGGCATGGCCGCTGAGGAGCGCCGGGCAGTCTGCCTACATTCTCTGGGCCTGGTCCACCATCTGTTAACGTCCACGAGCTCCAGAGCAACACGAACTTCACACGAACGTCACAGGACTGTCCCGAGAATAAACGTACCAGCAGTCCTGGCCACCGGAAGCACAGCGCAAAGGGCCCCTATTGTGAGTGCTTGCCCCACTCTCCTACTCTCATTCCCCTCGTCTCAGGGACTCAGCCGCCCCTGCTGGCACCTCAGGCTCCTTCGGAGATCCTACCCCCACCACAAGCAACTTACCAAAGGGCTTCCGGGGTAATTCGCTCCCTGAGAATTCCCAAATGCAATCTTCGCCATCCCGCTACGCAGTCTACAGGTGCCAGAGTGAGAGCAGGATTGCTAGAGACTCTGCACGGCCCCTGCAATGATCACGTGCGGTCCTGGGACCACCAGGGCATTAGGAGGCATGTGTTTACCTCCTTCATTCACTGGGTCAATGAGGAGCTGCTGGCGCGGACCCTGAGTGTAAGGCCCTACGTGTCTGGGGATCCCGGCGAGAACTGATCCGAGACTCAAGAAGCTCACAGGCTTGGGGGAAGACAGGCCCGTGAACAGACAATGCTGGCCTCCGGCAATCCCGTCCTGGATGGGGGCGCGCCCAAAACAAGTGACAGCAAGGACTCAAACAGATACTTGCAGCGTGTGTGTGTGGTGACATGTGTCACAGGAGCCAAAAAGTGGAAGGAACCCGAGTGTCCGAGGTCACAGGGACAGACAAGCAACAAGCCATCTAGACACACAATGGAGTTTTACTCAGCATCGAAAGGAAGGAAATGCCGGCCCACACCGCAGCGCGGAGGAGCCCTGAAGACATGACCCTGAGATGTCACTCACTGGACACTGCGGCCGCGGGCTCCCACTTCTCCGAGGACCCTGCCGTCCACTCGCTCATGGACACGAAAGGAGGACGGTGAAGGCAGCGTAGGCGCTTGTTCCTCTACTCTGGGGAACCCGAGGCCGCAGAACAAGGGAGCCACAGCACCCACAGCTGACCCCAAGGTTCCACTGGCCTTGCCCCCCTAGAGGGGCCATGGGGCAGCTTTCCCGCCCAAACCCACAGACACCCCATCACCCGGGTGCATCACCACAGCTCAGTGAGGGGTGCCCACTCCTCGGCACGGGGGGTAGAGCGTAGTAACCGGCGGGGGAGGGACCTGCCAGTTTCCGTCCTCCCAGTGGCAGCTGCGGCCCCTTGGGGAGACGGAGCCCCTCAGCTCCATCACCTTGACAAACCGAATCCGGTGTTCCTCATGCGGAACCTGCACCGTAGGAACCGGCGTCCGGGATGTGCTGGACCCCAGGGGTGCTTGCACGGCCCTGTCCAACCCAGGTTGGGACAGGGGCAGTCACCCCTACAGGCACGCCCCACGTCACGGGCAGGACCGGGCAGGCACCCAGGCCTCGCGACCCGCCCCCACTGCTGGGAGCCGGGGACTGACACAGCCAGTGACGGGCTGACACGGGGAGGGAGGAGGCGTGTAAAGGCAGACCCAGGCCTCACGCGGAGACTAATTCTGGTCAAGTCTCTGCCCACATCTTCCTGCCCGCTCCTGCCCGCTCCTGCCCACTCGGCCCTGATCGGACTCACAGGTTGAGCCGGGTGCCTGGGTGGGTGGGGAGGGGGACCCGAAGCTGCCTGCGCCTATTGGCTCTACTTTTAGACAATGGGGGAGATCTTGTCTTCAATATGACTCTGAACTCCTAGAAGGTGATTCTCCCCAGAACCGGACATTGGGGCCCACAGTGGGGTTCAGAGACACCCGCAGCTACCTGTGATTGGCTGCCTGGCTCCCTGGGAGGAACAGGGGCTCAGCCCGCCAGCCGGGCCACCTGTGTTCACAGCAGCTGAAGACAATGGGCTTTCTCAACCCCAGCACCCAGGTAACATTACCTGTGCAAACAGCCACTCTCCCGAGTAAATGGCAACCTACCCTCGGTTTCCAGAAATTTAATTTTCTCAAGAGGAATTGCTTCATATTAAGAATTTATTGGCTGGGAAGGTCTCTGTCTTTTATGAACACAGCACTGTACAGTGTTTAATTTCCATGGCTAATGACTGAATGTTTTTCTTCCTTTCCACCCACAGATCTGAATATCCTAATTTTAACATACGACACTCCATATTAAGTGGCTTCTCAAGGTGAGGAGCAGGGCAGGGAGAGAAACTCCTCAGGGAAGAGCGCACGGCTTTCCTGGAGGGAGAGGGGACCGCAGTGTCCCACACACATTCGTGCGCAGAGACCCACCCCAGGAGGAACAGGCACCTCACTGCACCCGAACCTCCTTCCCCTTCTGCATGGTGGACTCCTACCCTGGCTTTTGGACCACGCGCCCGTGCCCCTACGTGGAACACCCCACACACACATGCACACACAACATCTCAAGAGGGCTCTTCGTGGCTCTGCTCCAAGGATTACAGCTGTTGGTGCCTCGATGTCCATCTCCCTGACTGCCTCCGGAGCACCTTTCCTCATCTTTCAAGCGCCAGCATCCTACACAATGCCCGGGACCCAGGGGCGGCTTGCTAAGTGCTGAAATCACTTCACGAATGAAAGCCTGTGTGCGTATTTGCATGACGGCGGGCGTGTGGAAATGGGTGCTGTTTGTCAGAGACGGACCTCCACGGGTACGGGTGGCCCAGCACACTCGCTGCTAAAGCGAGGAGAGTAGGACCCTCTGATGGGATGAGTCCAGCATCACCAAGGGACAGCTTCTGGAGCCCACAGGGCCAGGCACGTGTGGCTATTACTGTCCAACACGTGAGGACAGAGTCTCAGAAAGGTTGGTGGGTTGCCTGCTGCGAGTGACCAATGGCCACGAGACCTGACCCATTGCCCAGCAGCACAGGGTACTACCAGGGAGTGTGGCTGTGGTTCTTGGCCAACATGAGCCCACCTGGTTGCAGACACACTCCCAGGCAACACGGGTCCAGTTCTGTGGACTCCTCTGTGGCCATCGCTCAGCACTGCAAGCCTGCTGCGGCCACCGTGAGGCTGGTCGGCTTTCATCCTTGTTGCTCGATCAGCTGCAGCAGCACAACTCACCACTGCGGGGGAACACAGGCGGCATCCGTTCCAGGAGGACTCAG